ATAACTGTGGTTGTGGATGTATATATTTGTACATGTGTTGGTATAACTGTGGTTGTGGGCGTATATATTTGTACATGTGAGTATAACTGTGGTTGTGGGTGTATATATTTGTACATGTGTTGGTATAACTGTGGTTGTGGGCGTATATATTTGTACATGTATGAGTATAACTGTGGTTGTGGGTGTATATATTTGTACATGTGAGTATAACTGTGGTTGTGGGCGTATATATTTGTACATGTGAGTATAACTGTAGTTGTGCATTTATATATTTGTACATGTGAGTATAACTGTGGTTGTTGATGTATATATTTGTACATGTGAGTATAACTGTGGTTGTGGATGTATATTTTGTACATGTGTTGGTATAACTGTGGTTGTGGGCGTATATATTTGCATACATGTGAGTATAACTGTGGTTGTGGGCGTATATATTTGTACCTGTGATTATAACTGTGGTTGTAGGTGTATATATTTGTACATGTGAGTATAACTGTGGTTGTGGATGTATATATTTGTACATGTGTTGGTATAACTGTGGTTGTGGGCGTATATATTTGTACATGTGAGTATAACTGTGGTTGTGGGTGTATATATTTGTACATGTGAGTATAACTGTGGTTGTGGGCGTATATATTTGTACATGTGAGTATAACTGTAGTTGTGCATTTATATATTTGTACATGTGAGTATAACTGTGGTTGTTGATGTATATATTTGTACATGTGAGTATAACTGTGGTTGTGGATGTATATATTTGTACATGTGTTGGTATAACTGTGGTTGTGGGCGTATATATTTTGTACATGTGAGTATAACTGTGGTTGTGGGTGTATATATTTGTACATGTGAGCATAACTGTGGTTGTGGGCGTATATATTTGTACATGTGAGTATAACTGTAGTTGTGCATTTATATATTTGTACATGTGAGTATAACTGTGGTTGTTGATGTATATATTTGTACATGTGAGTATAACTGTGGTTGTGGATGTATATATTTGTACATGTGTTGGTATAACTGTGGTTGTGGGCGTATATATTTGTACATGTGAGTATAACTGTGGTTTGTGGGCGTATATATTTGTACCTGTGATTATAACTGTGGTTGTAGGTGTATATATTTGTACATGTGAGTATAACTGTGGTTGTGGATGTATATATTTGTACATGTGTTGGTATAACTGTGGTTGTGGGCGTATATATTTGTACATGTGAGTATAACTGTGCTTGTGGGTGTATATATTTGTACCTGTGATTATAACTGTGGTTGTAGGTGTATATATTTGTACATGTGAGTATAACTGTGGTTGTGGATGTATATATTTGTACATGTGTTGGTATAACTGTGGTTGTGGGCGTATATATTTGTACATGTGAGTATAACTGTGGTTGTGGGTGTATATATTTGTACCTGTGATTATAACTGTGGTTGTAGGTGTATATATTTGTACATGTGAGTATAACTGTGGTTGTGGATGTATATATTTGTACATGTGTTGGTATAACTGTGGTTGTGGATGTATATATTTGTACATGTGAGAATAACTGTAGTTGTGGGTGTATATATTTGTACATGTGAGTATAACTGTGGTTGTGGATGTATATATTTGTACATGTGTTGGTATAACTGTGGTTGTGGGCGTATATATTTGTACATGTGAGTATAACTGTGGTTGTGGGTGTATATATTTGTACCTGTGATTATAACTGTGGTTGTAGGTGTATATATTTGTACATGTGAGTATAACTGTAGTTGTGCATTTATATATTTGTACATGTGAGTATAACTGTAGTTGTTGATGTATATATTTGTACATGTGAGTATAACTGTGGTTGTTGATGTATATATTTGTACATGTGTTGGTATAACTGTGGTTGTGGGCGTATATATTTGTACATGTGAGTATAACTGTGGTTGTGGGTGTATATATTTGTACATGTGAGTATAACTGTGGTTGTGGGTGTATATATTTGTGCATGTGAGTATAACTGTGGTTGTGCATTTATATATTTGTACATGTGAGTATAACTGTATGAAACACCGTATGAAACTTATCTCTTGTGTATGTAACTATGTATTTATCATTTATTATGACATGAATGAAATTCTGTGTTCTGTATTGATCCATACAGTCCTAGGGTGTATCCAACTATGGTAGCCCACTCACGACCTGAGGGTAATTAAGATAACAATACAGGTTCCCCAGCAATATAGGCTCGTTGTCAGGCAACCAAATACACTGGATGGTAATCTCGGTGTTTAAATGTAGGGCGATGGCTGCTTAAATACGGCGTGAAGATCCGGGTTAGAATTGAGAGTCAGATTGACGGATCGAAAAAGAATCGAAAGTCACGTGCATATGCCAAAACAGTGTATTTAACCTGCATATACAAGCATAATCATCATCACCATCATCATCATCATCATCATCATCATCACCACCACCATCATCATCGTCCTCCTCACCCGTAAAAATCCGGGTTACAATTGGTCTTTAGCAACCCATGCTTGTCGGAGGAGGCGATTAACGGGATCGGGTGGTCAGGCTCGCTGACTTGGTTGATTCATGTCATCGTATCCCAATTGCACAGATCGATGTTCATGCTGTTGATCACTGGAATGTCTGGTCAGACTCGATTATTTACAGACCTTCGACATATAGCTGAGTCAGCGAACCTGGCCACCCGATCCCGTTAGTCGCCTCTTACGACAAGCATGGGTTACTGAAGATCAATTCTAACCCGATCTTCACGATTGAAGGGGTAGACGGTAAGATTACATACATTTATAGTTCATTTCCATGCATGGAAGAAGAGTGAGTGAGTGACAGCATGAGCATCGATCTGCGCACTTGGGAACCGATGACATGTGTCAACCAAGTCAGCGAGCCTGACCACCCGATCCGTTAGTCGCCCTTACGACAAGCATAGTCGCCTTTTGTGGCAACCTATTCTACCCCGGATCTTCACGGGTCTGGAAGAAGAGACAAATCTGACTCAGTGTATAGATATACTGAGTACAAATACAAATATGTATTAAAGGCTCCATACATATCATACTTAGGTTATACAGAGAGAGCTAGTATACATTGGTTTATTGTTCCATTAAGAGAGTATGTAAGTCCCATACCATTCGAAGTATCTCCATTTCAAGCCAGGACCTATATTTTCGAAGCTCTCTTAGTGCTAAGATAGTCGTAAGTGCCATACATTCACATTAACTTACGACTACCTTAGCGCCACTAAGAGCTTCGGAAACTAAACCCAGGCTTTTAAATGAAGCATATTCGTTCTTTCAAATTTTGGCTTAACTCATCAATTGTCGCCAGTGACTGAAGGGATGGTGAAAATCAACTTGTGTCCATGCAGGTAGGAAAGGTACTGTAAGTGCCCATGGTCCCTAGTATGGTGATCTACCTTCAGTTGTTGGAGATCCATAGCCTGTTTTATATTGTATTGTTGATTAATAATATTTCTTTCTTTTAACTGCTATCAGCTAGTTTTCATTTCTATCTGTGATATTCTAGTACTGTCCATCAAATACAGGCTTCTTATTCATACTATATCCAATACTTACATTAAATTTCTCGTCACGTTATGGCTGAGAGATTGCCCTTGTGATGTAAAACATAAACTCTCATTCACTATTATACATTGGTAGTGGCTGCTTATGTTTAACTAACAGTTGATTTTGACAATTGTTTTGATAAAATTACACAATTTGGATAATTTTCTTGTGTACTTAGTCCATAACAATTATATAGATCAATCATTTTATGAACAGATGGATACTTACGCGGACCTCAGTTTCTAAATTATGTTCAGGGCCTAGATTTTCGAAGCTCTCTTTAGCGCTAAGATAGTGGTGAGTTAATGTTAATGTATGGCACTTCCGACTATCTTAGCGCTAAAGAAATCTAGGCCCAGGACACTGTTTTGTTAATAATTCATGCAATAACATGTCACCCCACCAATTTCTTTCAGACAGTTTTGTTACGTCTCCAATGTTTATCGCTAATCAATCGATAATGAGTTAACGATTATAGATCACTATGATATGTATCTATAGCCAGCCTTACACATAGATCTGCCATAAAGTTGCTAGTTGTTGACATGCTGCGGATATATGTTTAATTGTGTATTTCCTATGATTGTATTTTAATACAAGTTTGTTTGCAAGCATCGTTTGAATTACAAACATCATTAGTTTCTGTATTACTAACAAGAAAAAAACACGCCGAGTTGGTTCTTTTTTCCTGTGTGTGGGTAGATAACTAGGAATAATTATACTTTTGGAAACACATATATATTTCATTAATTTCATTTACTGACACTGTAAATAAAAAACCTCGGCACGAAGAATAACAAAATTGTGTGCTTGTCAATGTTGCGTTTAACACAGAGCATGTCGTAGATACATATGTTGCATTTTGATGTTTACAAGCGTTGGCAGACATGTTGATATACTAGGCACTCCACATAGAGCATTTATCAAGATATCGATTTCAGTTCATTCTGGAAACGCATTTTTGAGTAAAAACTCTAACTTAAGTCAAAACTCAGACTTCAGTTTGTTTTGAGAAATCGGGGCCAGATCTGATGTCTACGTTCCCTCAGACCGGCAAACCCTCAGGTTCGTTCTGGTAGAGAGTCGAACGGTAAGTCTCTATGAACAGTTCTACGTCATGGGTCATGGGATTGTGTCTCGCCAGACGAACTGCGTCCCGGTCATCCCGGTCACTGGTCATCCTCGGTCTTGACGGTTTGACGATCCTTTACTTCATCCGTGGCTGCGTGCTTCCTCAGAAGTCGATCATTAACCCCGTGGAGAAGTTACCCGAAGTCACCGAACCTATTCGTCCCTGTCTCTTAACTGCTCTGTATAAAGCTTACATATCTTTACTTTAAATCTTAACTCACTCACTCACTACATGTCTTTACGAAATACAATAACATCATGTCTTTCTGTTCATGACATGGTTTTGTTTTGTCACAGGGGTCCGCTATATTGAAGATGTCAGCCGAGAATGGTCTACTCCAAAGAGAACTGCGGGGCCTTTGCTCTTGTAGAATCTGGAAAGTCAGATGTATGTAGACTTGTTTCTTCCATGATTAAAGTTCAGTTAGTCAGATCAAGACTATTGATTCACTTTGAAATGAGGTATTGGTTTCAATGGTACACAATGAAGCTGATTATTAGATTGTGTGTGTATGTTGGCGGCCCATGAAGTTTCCGGTTCTTTGGCAACCAATGGTTCTCGAAAGAGAAGTAGGCTGACTGACTTGGTTGCTGCATATCTTTGCATCTTAGGTGCTGGCATCAATACTCATGCTGTTGCTCACTGGACTGTGTGATTTAGACTCGATTATTCACACACCGCTGTCACACAACTTGAGTATAGTTGAGTTAAACAAGACTGACTGAGTTTGGTTTTACGCCGCTTTTAGCAATATTCCAGCAACATCACGGCGGGGACACCAGAAATGGGCTTCACACATTGTACCCATGTGTGGGGATTCGAACCCGGGTCTTCGGCGTGACGAGCCAACGCTTTAACCACTAGGCTACCCACCGCCCCGTTAAACAAGAAACTAACAAATCTGCGCTTTGGCTGTTATGCTCTCAGTTTGTTGGCTTGTTGTTTAACGCAGCACTCAACAGTATTGCAGCCATATGGTGGCGCTCTGTAAATGGTCAAGTCCTGACCAGACAATTCAGTGATCATCAACATGAGCGTCGATCAACGCAATTTGCATACGGTGATGTGAGTCAACCAAGTCAGCGAACCTGGCCACTCGATCGCGTTAGTCGACTCTTCAACAAGCATGGGTTGCTGAGGATCAATTTTAACCCGGATCTTCATGGGTGCGTTGGCTCCTGAGTCATCAGCTGCACATCATTGTCCTGATAGTCATGAGACTTATATGTAGGTTATTTATCCAGATAATTATTTTAAGATCCATTCTGATCAACCGGACATGCATATTTCACGGACATGAGGAAAACAAGTTATCTCAATCTCCATTTTTAATTAAGGTTGACAAAGAAGACTTCGAGGAACATGGACTTCTGACACATTTAAATGACCTGTCAGTCGAGGAGGAGGAAAGAGAAGAAGAGAGAGAAGACGAGGAGGAGTTTCGAGAGTACTATTTGAAGTGTGGAGGAAGAGTGGCTCAAACAAGAACAGCAATCGTACACAAACTGAATGAACACAAGACTATTATCGGTCGCGTTGTTGGGTCTGTCATATTAGTTGTCTACCTGGTGTATCTTGGCTTCTGCATAGACTACTCGTTTGGGGATGAAGGCTCTGTCAGGCTTGTCTGGGGCACGTGTTTTGTTTTGTTTCTTGTTGGCTACAGCAACTTCAGCGGGAAAATCTTCCAGAAGATCAGAGAAGGTTGCAGATGCCAGACCCTGAGAAGGCCAATAGTTCGAAAAGGAATCAGATGGTATGATTTGTCTTTGATGAAGTCATTATCCCTACTTGTATTTGTTTTACTGCAGTTCTAGTTTTGTTTTTGAACAGTTATCTTCTTTATAAACTGATAAAAATCAAAGTTTTCGTAAAACGAAATCCCTTTATTATTGTTGTTTAGATATGAAAATCGGCAAACACTTTTTTATCCTGTTTTTTAGAGAACATTTCTCTTCTCGAACCTGATAAAAAAACAACAACAATTTGTCCCCATGTCATTCCAACGCCACCCCAGCGTCCTAAATATCTAAATATGACACTTGACATGCTGAATGTCGATTGGACACATTCAATTAATTAGTTCGTGAAGATATTGTGTTTATCACTATGTAATTGCTGGCATATGGTATTTAGTTATTACACAAATGTATGTAATAAGATACTGTATTACTTCCGTTTGCTGTTTCAGGTTCCTGTACTTGTCGATACTTTTGTTCATTATCACGTACCTGTGTCTAACCATTCTACAAACAAGTCCAAAGAACTTCACCTCCCTCGCAGGACTGGTCTTCTTCATAGTTATCGGTTACATATTCTCCAAACGCCCAGACCTGGTAATATTAGTTTGTTTTCCCTTCCTTAACGCCGCATTAAACAATATTCCAGTTATATTCGCTTATGATTTGATTATGATCAATATTCTACAGATCAGAGGTGCCGTTGTTCAAAAGCAACCTTAGCGCTAAGGCTTCACCTTTAGTCAGTGTTAAGGTATATGGGCGTTACGGTCACCTTAGTGCTAAGGTTACCTTAAGTCAATATTAAGGTATGGGAGTTACCGTCACCTTAGTGCTAAGGTTACTTCAAGTCAATGTTAAGGTATGGGAGTTACCTTAGTGCTAAGGTTACCTTAATGTTAAGGTATGGGGTTAGTTTACCGTCAATGTTAAGGTATAGGAGTTACCCACCTTAGTGCAAAAGGTTAAAAGTCCAATGTTAAGGTTACCTTAAGTCCAATCAATGTTAAGGTATGGGAGTTACCGTCACCTTAGTGCTAGTGCTACCGTCACCTTAGGGTTACCTTAAGTCAATGTTAAGGTATGGGAGTTACAGTCACACCTTAGTCTAAGGTTACCTTAGGTCAATGTTAAGGTATGGGGTTACTAAAGGTTACCTTAAGTCGATGTGTTAAAGCATGGGAGTTACGGTCGCACTTAGTGCTAAGATCGCTTTGTACAACGGCACGCTTGGTATACAAAGAATGAAGGTCCTGACCACCCGATCCGTTTGTCGGCTCTTACGATAAGCATATGTTGCTGAAGACCAGCTGTGCCCCGGATCTTCTGGTGAAGATCTGATAATAGATTATACATTAGGCTTATGATAATTACATCATTTAATACAAGTGGCTGAGTGTTGTCCTTATGTAATGCGTTAGACGTAAAATGAGCTGAGTTACCCGTGCCTAGAACCTTGGGTCGCGGTTCGAATCTCGCATCCAATATAATCATTATTCCTTGTCACAACAGTATCCATGATTGGGATCATGGGTTTCACTTAAAGTTATAACCTTCTTATACACACGGAATGCGGAAATATATATAATCAGTTCTGGAAAACAAACCAGATTCGTATTCAGACATCCCTCCATTTCCTACAGGTCAACTGTGGCATGCAGTGTTCTGGGGGCATTACAACACAGTTTCTGTTTGCGCTGTTCATCCTCCGGTCGAGATTTGTTGGATACAGCGTTTTCAACTGGTTGGGAGAGAGGCTTGAAGAATACATGAGACACACAGACAAAGTTCTCGGTTGTGTTTGGGGACAGCTTCAGAGATCCTGGTTTGTGTTTGTGGTGCGTTGGTTCTCAAGAATAGTTGCCCCCATCACTACCATCAAATGGACGATCTGTTACACCCAATCTGTGCAACTGCCCATTACGTGCTTTGGGCGAGGCCGTTTCCCAATGCGTGCAATATGCGAATTCAACCTGCTAATTGCATGCAGTGTCGCGAACAAACACCTGCTCATTGCGTTAATTGGGCAATAGTTGAAAAATGAAACATAATTTTTCCAAATATTTAACAATATGGGCAACCAGTTTTGCTCAGTTCACTCAGTGGTAATGGTGATTGTTCTGCCCAAAGCTTGCAATTGAAATTGGTATTGTTTTATACCGTATATGTATTTAATAAGTGACTATTAATAAGTGAATAAACTGTAATAAAATAGCAACCAAGCAAATATGTGATCTTAAGAACCTTGGTCGATATTTGCATCATAATGATCATCGGAATGCCAAAAAACATTCTCTCAAGGTCGAAGATTATATTAAATGAACTTGAAAAGCAATTTTATATCTTCAGAACGTAAATCAAATGATCATTTCAAAACTGTTAAAAATACTATGAATCGATACAGAAAGTTTAAGAACCATTTAGTATTTGTAAAACTTAGAGTATATGCATTTATCATATATTGTGGTCAGATACCAATTGTTGTTAAAATCGTACGTGTTCATCCAAAGAGGTAATAACATTATTGGATTTCTCCTTCCAGACAATGCCACTAATTATTTCATGAGTTCCACAGTCAACATGCTGTACCACTACGGGGTGCTCAAGCTATTGTCAAGAACTTCGGGAAGTTCCTCTTCTTCTGTATGGGTACGAGCGCTGTTGAATCTGTCCAACTGCTGCCTTCAACATGTTCTTGGTCCCGTGGTACTAACAATTACTTTCAACACTTCCCCAGCCTTCATTAGAGATATCAGCTGAAACCTTCACGATTCGTTATATCTTTCATGGGATGTGTTTAACATAGCCTGTATATATAATGGTTAACCTTTCAGCTATTTTCAGACAAACGTGTTTCTCATACATAAGTTTGCAATAAGTATTATCGAATAACTTTGAATCCTGGATGACCAATTATTACCGGCCCCTTTTGTGCACAATTTATGTACTGTGCTGTCCCAAGATTTGTACAGGGTGGCACGTTCTGGAGTAAAACCCGTAAAAAACTTTTAATGATTGAAGGGGGCGTTTTAAAAAGACACTTATACAACCAGGTTATATGTAGGTTATATGTTAAGGTAACGTCGAAGGTATTCTTTAATGAAGAAGGTGAAAACTAGTACAATGATGGCCTCCATCCTAAAGATGTCGTAGCTATGCAGCGGGTGGTCATGGTGTCATTAGGTGAAGTGCATAGACCTTGGATATAACTATGTTAAGAAAGAGTTAGCAATATCTTAAGGAACCATCATATTTAAGCTCAGGTCTTTTCCCGTCACCCTTTGTATCGACACACTAAACATGCTCTTGCGGCGCGGTCGTTGTTGTAGGAACACGTGGATATGATCGTTACTAAGTGGGGTTAAATAGCGAATGCAGTTATCATCCTGTACCGTCTTATGCCAAGTTGTGCTGCATCACATGATTGTTTTGATATTCCGACTTCAAGTCTGAGGGCTCAATGGCTATCAAACCATTCCTGCCATTACTGACTGCATCTGAGATGCATGCCATCATGGTCACCAACTTTCTCCAGTATTTCCGGAAGTGTCTTTGGAATGCTTGTGAACTTTGGAGTAAGTTATATCTTCTTGTCAATGACTTTTATCAAGTTGAATATAGTTAGAGGCGTGATGGTCTATCTATCTAATCTCCACCCCATCTTTTTACCCCGTCTAATCTGATATCCCAATCTAGTCTCCTACATCCAATCTGACACTTTATTTCGTGTACACTAACATGACACCCGCATCTAGTCTACCCCATCTGTTATGACCCCAATGTTGTCTAGCACACCTAGTCTGACACGCCATTTTTGTCGATTTTCTAGCAACATCAGGGTATATTTCCTTCCTCTATTGACCGACTCCGTGGTGTGAGTGGTTAGAGCGTCCGCCCGGAGAGTGGAAGGTCGCGGAGTTCGATCCCGACCGCGTCATACCAAAAGACGTTAAAATTTGGTACTTGTTGGTCCCTGCCTGGCGCTCGGCATTAATGGGTACAATGCGGACTGGTCGGCTCAGAGTCAGTATAATGTGTCTGAGTGAGGTATTCATGCTTCACTGCGGCATGGGTATCTCAGTGGGCTAGCACTTTAAAACCAGCTTCAGTCTAGGCTAGTACAAGCAGCCGCACATACACACACACACGCATGCGTCGTCATATGGGCAGAAATATTCTCAAGCACGACGTAAACCCAATTTCACCTCACTCACCTTCCTGCCTCTATTGGAAGTACGACGTGTCTGCACCACTGCCAGAGACGGAGGTTCCAATATGCATTCATTGTATCTCACTGCTTATAGCTTTTGCTGCTTCCTCAATGTGTCTGTGTCAAAGTATCTATTCATGTATGTAATGTATACTTTCTATGCTTAGCTTGCTTCTTGGTTTATAAGCAAAACAACGACGGCTAATAACCATGCGTTACCAAACTACATTCCTTTAATTATCTGTACAGCAGTTTGTTGATACCTAATGATATTGACACTTAAGTCACTGAAATCAACAAAAGGACAATATCAGAATGAACACAATCGATGTTCTATATTTTGCTCAAGAGATGGATCCCCGAATTTCTCAGTTCTTAAACAAATACGAATATCATGTCAATGACCAGTGTGTGAGTTGTCTATAAAGAGAGGGGCGGTGCAGGGTAGCCTAGTGGTTAAAGCGTTCGCTCGTCACGCCGAAGGACCAGGTTCGAATCCCACATGGGTACATTATTGAAGCTCATTTCTGGTGTCCCCGCCGTGATATTGCTGGAATAATGCTAAAAGCGTAAAACCAAACTCACTCACTCACTCTATCGAAGAGAGTTTTATGGATGTCAACTTCTTTTATCATGAGGAACACACCGTTTCGGGTATATTCTTACTTCTTCGGCGATGAATTAGGAGGAAGGATATGCTCCGAGAGCGATATCCTCATAATAAAAGTCTATTACTCTAAATGCCATTCAAGACCTGGGTTGTCTGTCGCCTGGCATCGCACTGTCTTCAAATTTGACACCTATGGTGTTGGTGTTTGCAAACATGTACCAAAACCCCACTGACTTTAGATGGTGCAGAATACAGCTGGCTGTATGTATGTACTCCTTAGATAAGGGGATTCTGTATGGTGTTACATGTTGTAAGCATCCCTATGCAGGCTCCTGCCAACCACCTCCTCACAGCGTCTGTGATGTCTGCCCCGCCGCCCTCGCAATGGCCAGAAACTGACCAATGCCGGAGACACGACGGACTAGGGTCAAACCAGAAGATGCTTACAATATAACAATGGCGTAAGTAAGAATCGATTACACTAGACATGGACTATCATTAAAACATGCCAGACCCAACAGCCGCTTTGTCAAATGCACACATACAAGGGGTAGCAGTGGTGTAATTTTATGTCAACAATGTGCTTGGTCGCATCGAGAACCCTGACAAACCTGATGATTGTTCATTTTTTTTCCCAAGAGATTTATAAGTCACCACTAAACACAAGTGTTCGACATAACATATTGCATATTCACGTTACAATGAATTTCTCCACACGCTCACAAATCTAAATAATTTGAAATTTACATATTTAAGGTTGTAATAAAGCGTTCACAATGTTTAATGGCAGGATGTAGAGTGTCTGTGACAAATGATGTCCCATACACCGATGGAGGAAGATAAACTCAGTTTATCGCAACAAATTCTGACATTATCATATGTTTTATTTTTATATAACATGTTCACAAGAGTGTCTTGATATATCTTTCAGGAAATTTCAGAGCGTATTGGAAGCAATATCTATCGGCGCTGTTGATGGCATCACACTGGCGTCCACCGTCGTTTACATCAACCAGATCGTCTTCATCGCCGCTATTGAATTTATAGACTACCGCATTTCAATGGTTTGGGCTTTTAGGGTGGGAGTGATGAAGGCGTGACGTTCTCGGTATGTGTACCTCACTTTTGTCAGAACTGACGTAGTGGGATGGCGTATAGCATTGGCGAATCATTTATGCGTTCTGATTATAAAAGTTACACTTTCAGTGGCAACCAGCGTTTGTCGCAAAGGCAACTAAAGAGTGAACGGTGGTAGATCGATGCTCATGATGTCTGTCACTGGATTGTCTAATTCAACTTTGTTAAGTTATACACCTTCGTCGATTGTGCTCGACGCAAACCTGAACTTGTTATCGTGATGAGGATCAATGCATTTCGTATGAACTTGGGAACTAGAAACACTTTTACCTTTCAACTGTCACAATAATCCTGAAATATATACCACATCTTTAAATGTTGACATTATTTCAATTTCGTCCGTGAATCAAACATAGTTCAGTTCTCAAAGTTTTCATTGAGTCGAAAAGCGTGTCATAGCAACGTTTGTTTATAAGCTTTACTTATTAATGAAATAAATTGAAAATAAATTACACGACATTCTTGAGTTTGGTAGAATTTGATAAATTGTTCCAAAAAGCCTGAATGTGTCCATATCGTATATGTTTCTATACGTATACAGCCAGAGTAAAGTCAAGAGCTAAATAGTAAATATTATTTGAAGGAAGTGATTCTACTTTTGCTCGTATGCAAATTAACGAGGTGGTCATTCACGCTGACATGGTTGACACATGTCATCGTATCCCAACGGCGTATGTCGATGCTCATGATGTTAATCACTTAATTGTCTGGCCCGAGGCTCGATTGTTTACTGACCGTCACCATATAAGCTGGAATATTGCTGACTGTGTTGTTAAACACAAAATCAATCAATCAATCAATCCATGAATCGTATACAAAGTAAAACAATGTGAAGAATTGTTCCGCAGTCCCTAATGTCACCGTTACTGTTTCGATGACCCTCTTCTCTTTACCACAGCTTCTCTGTTCCTACATGTTCTATCCGCTGGCGTACATAATGGGCTTCCCCAAGGTCGACCTCTTCAAGATAGGCGAACTGATGGGCATCAAAATCTTTGCCAATTCTTTTGTTGGATTTATGGGAGTTTGGCAGGCTGGTCATCAACAGGAAGGATCTTGAGGCAATATCAGCTGGTTCACAACGGTACCTGGCATTGGCAAGATGGCAATGTAATTCGAGACTCAACCAATGTAACATTGGTCGGTGGAAGTCTTGAGGTTAGTATCTGGACCTGTCTTGTAGATGTATTTCCATGTCCAAATTAATATCATCTGCAAACAGGAGTGCTCAGATGCAATATATATAGCATCAAATTCAATTAACTGGAAAGGAATACTGAATATTCGAAGGACTGTTTTCGAGAAAATGTTGAAAAGAGATATGTCTAAGTGGACACTTTTGTCTGACACTGGTAGAACAGTCAAACACAAGTTTCTTCCCGTTCAGTGACGCCGATACTTTTTAACGTCACCGTGCAAACATTATGAAGCGCCTTGAAATCATCCTATGGATACCGTTCTCCAAACAAAAGGAAATACAACTACATGTAGCTGGAATATTGCTAACAAACAAACAGACAAACACTTATCTGTCTCCACTTTGGGTTCATGGTCAGGTCAAACTGATATACTGGGCTCAATGTAGCATCTCTGTCTTTATGGATTCGGGGGCGGTGGGGTAGCCCAGTGGTTAAAGCGTTGGCTAGTCCGCCGAGGCCAGGTTCGATTCCCACATGGGCACATTGTGTGAAGCCATTTCTGGTGTCCCCGCCATGATATTGCTGGAATATTGCTGAACTGGCGTAAAACAACTCTCTCCTCTCTTTATGGTTCGGCTTGACGAACGGTAATTTTCAGTTTTCGGATACATTTGCTGTTGTTGTTGCTCGTTGTTGTTGTTTTTATCCGCAGCGTAGTGAATTTGAAATGAGTAGCTTTTGTACGAGCCTCTGCTCTGCCTGTAAAATCATGTTACACTATTGGCGCCTTGTCCAGAGTTACCCACCACAACCATTTCAGTTTCTACACCATCTGCCAAGGCGAAGTTAGCCTTGATAGTTGAAGGTGTCATCATATTTCAAACCATTAGCTGTGTCACACTTTATGTTTGAAGTATTAGACATGTAATGGTTTGGTTGTAAAATGAGTCACATCCTACTGGCATTCATTTATTGTATCTTTCCAATTCAACTAGCTGTTCCGAAAAAACGGGTTGTTCATCAGAGAATAACAAGCTCCCCAGTATGTAATGACCATCATCCAGCCTCCTGTTATCACCGGCTGGGACCCGTCAAGGTCCGGGTTAGAATGTTGGCCTTCAGTAATCCATGCTTGGTCGTAAGAGGCGACTACTAACGGGATCGGGTGGTCAGGCTCGCCCGGCTTGGATTTGACACATGTCATCGGTTCCCAATTGCGCACATCGGTATTCATGCTGTTGATCACTGGTTTGTCTGGTCCAGACTCGATTATTTACAGACCGCCGCCATATAGCTGGAATATTGCTGGAGTGCGTCGTAAAGAATAAACTCCGCACTATCACCATCGGGTTTTGTCATGCCCATTCCCTTCCCTTTCTAACTTGTTGGACTGTCAGATGTTTCCTAAACCGGAGTGTCTATCTAATGAGTCATACCAGAGTGTAAAGCGAGCAATGCCTCTATTTCAGTACAGATATTTCCTGAATTTCGTAAAGTTTACTTTCAGTATTAAGACCTTCGCTGTGTTACTTTTTCATATAATGAGATCGTCGAATCAATATTGTAAAGAGGCAATTTAGCTTTGAGTTCGTTTTATTGTTTTATGAAAAGTTTATTTCGAGGCGTGAAGACTCGTTGTTATTTGTTTCATCAACTTTACTATCGACTCTCCTCAGATGTTTCCTAAGTGAGTATTAGAGTGTAAAGGGAGCAAATGTCTCTCTACTCTTTAGTTCTTGATATTTGTTTCCGTATGTATATTTACAGCATTAAGACTTGCTGTGTTACTTTGTTGAATCAGCTCCACTATCGCTCATGTTGTTAAATTTGTTTTGACGGCTTTTACTGCAACAAGCGCATCAATTGGCCAGAAATGCTATAATTCGATGTCTCAGCTAAAGCGTTCTAAATAACTGTCGCCCCCTGAACAAGGCTTCATTTTATGCAGGATCGGAGAAAGCCTGCTCCTCGTTCAATGTCAGAGGTCACATCGGTCAAGCATCAATCACCAAAGGACGTAATGCGCAGAAATATATGACTAGGACAGTAAATTGGTGGATTAAACTCACCAACATGTCCAGACAGTCGCAAAATATGCAGCTTGGAAGCATGTGACAACAAAGTACCGTTTAAAGAGCCGGGTATGTTGTCGACGTTGTGCCTTCAGTCCGTTAAATCTATTCTATGATCGTGTGGTAGAAAAGATCCAATCTTGCAGTTCCACAGTTACAACTATATCCCTATTGCTTAGCAGAATGTAAAGGAATATTTCAAACTGTCAAGTTCGTGTTACTATTTGTTAAATAAAGACTGAAGTGCTCTTCGTAAATACTCACTCAAGGCCTGTGTGTCGTGCCTGTTCGCTATTGACGACCTTGGTCTCACTCGAAAAGAGCTAGCGACCTGATTGGTTAAAACTTAAAGTTGTCCCATCAGATCGCCAAGGTCATCAATGGCAAACGGGCGCAACACCGGCCTGTTTCCGATGAATAAATGTATGTAAAATTATTATGACATTTAGGTGTAAGTGTCACCGAAACCATGGCGACTAGTACTGAGTCAAAAAGAAACTTCACAAAATAATGAATAATTTTTTTTCTGATGATACATCTATGTATCCGAAATGGGATCCCTATCTTCGACTCTAGAAAACGTTAGCAAACCCACTCAAACCCATCCATTCGTCGTGCAAATGACGTTAGTGCCAAATCAGGTTTTGCACGTGCAGTCGATCACGTGATCTTCGCATCGAAGTTTTCTTCATATGCACGTGTTTGCATTGGCCTCAAGAATTGAAAAAACACTTTAAACCACAGTTCTAACGGTACTTGAAATGCCACGATTGTCAAATGTGCAACGTGAACGTGCCGTTGGCATGTTGCAAGCGGGAAGATCAGTTATTGACGTCGCAAGAGCAATGGGATGCAGCCGTCGTACTGTGTATGACTTGCGAGGTCGTCTACAACAAACTGGCACCACTTCTGATCGCCCAAGGTCGGTTCGTCCACGTGTGACGTCACGAGCAGAAGACCGTCAAATCGTCCTACGTCACCTACGTGACAGATTTCTGCCGGCTACACGAACCAGGGCTGAGATGTTTAGAGGTCGACTGTCCTCACAGACCATTCGAAATCGGTTGCGGGCTGCCAATCTCCATTCTCGACGTCCATATCGTGGGCCAATATTGACGCCGTTTCATCAACGTCAACGTCTGCTGTGGGCCCAACGTCACCTCCGATGGACCCAGAGACTGGAATCGAGTCGTCTTTAGCGATGAATCCAGGTTTACCCTCAGATTCGCGGACGGCAGGCATAGAGTCTGGAGACGACGTCGTGAACGGTATGCCCAATGTTGTGTACAGGAAGTCGACAGATTCGGGGGCGGAAGTTGCATGGTGTGGGGTGCTTTCTGTGGGAACAACCGTTCCCGACTTCTGGTCATCCGTGGAAACCTCACAGCTGCTGCTTACCGCGACCAGGTGCTCACCCCTGAACTCGTTCCTTTCATGGCGGCTCATGGCCCAGGTCTACAGTTCCAGCATGATAATGCTCGGCCGCATACCGCGATGTTGACACGAAATTTCCTTCAAAACGCTGGAATCAACGTCATGGACTGGCCATCGAGGTCCCTGACCTTAATCCAATAGAGCACGTTTGGGATGCACTTTGGGAGAAGGCTTCGTGGTCTTAGGAACCAACCTCAGAATTTGCAGGAACTTGGCGCTGCCTTGCAAGAGCAATGGCGCAGAATCCCCAACCACGTGTTCACAAGCATCAGGCAGTCGATGAGGAGACGGTGTTTGGCAGTGGTGAATGCGCGGGCGGCCATACACGATATTGAACTGAGAAATTTCGCATTTTTATTCTTGTGACTTGACATTCTGTATACCCATGTTTTGGAACGGCGGTGTAGCCTAATGGAACTGATTATGGCACTGTCAGTGTATCGAGTACATCACACAGATCTCAGCAATGAAATAATAACAATTTAACCATCTTACCATCTCTTGTTCTTTATAGTGCCCTGAAGAAAGAATGTGAAGTTTCTTTTTGACTCAGTATACTCCGATTCTTGTGCTGTTGTCTCATGTTGTAGGGTTTGAAATGCGAAATAATTTCATCGGGTATGTACAGTGGGCATTGTTGAATCTGCCCCCTAAACGAACATGGTTTGTTGACCTCGTTACACCCTTTCCTTTAATTAAGTATCAAGACTCCATCAGTCACTCTATATACCTCATGCAGTTTTGTTTCGTTACAAGCCCCTGTGGAATAGTGCTGGAGTGCAGACAACAGACACATATGTGAATTCGGCGAATGTAAATGCAGTATTGTAAATACTCAAATGACATGCACTCGTATGTCTAATTCCTAGACTCTAATTCTTCCATTGTATTTCAGAAACGTTCTGAGGTGCTTGGTACGTATGCCTTATGTGGGCTCAACCACATAGGGGCAGTTGGTGTTGCCATGGGAACGCTGATCGCGCTGTGCCCCGAACGGAGGACCACCATCACAAAATATGTACTGAGGGCAAACATCACTGGGCAGATGGCCTGCTTTATGACAGCATGCATCGCAGGTGAGCGAGTAGTGTGGAGTGAGTGGGTTTAGTTTTAAGCAATATTCCAGCAATACCACGGCGGGGGACACCAGAAATTGTACCCATGCGGGGAATCAAACCTGGGTCTCCAGCGCAACGACCGATAACCACTAGGCTACTCGCGTGAGAAGTAGAAGTGGCCGAGATATATAAGGTTCTGGGCTATTTTGGGTACCGTTAGTGGATTAAAAAACCCCGTATTATTTGCCTTCAAGATTTGAGACATTAAATTCAAAGTATGCTTGGCAAATAGTATAAAATCTTTTCGCTCAAAGCTTGTCTAGGCGTAATGAGTTCCAACTTACGGGTGTCACAGTATATGGTTAGGTATGTAGGTATTCGAACTCTCGTGAGTGACTTTACCCTAACACAGTGTATATGTAATTTGTACATATTAAACTGACTTGACTATGTTTATGACCTTGGTGTAGTCTGGTTGTTAAGACGTCCGATTCCCTACACGGGTACAATGTTTGGAGCCATTTGTTGCCTTCTTCCGTTGTCATTAGTCTGGAGAATTACAAAAGGCATCATAAAACTATATTCATTCAGGCTTATGTTAAATGATTGTTTTCTGTTTCCAACAGGTTTGCTGTACGATGAGGCTTTACAGTCGGCGTGAGCGTCTTTGAAAGTCCAATGTGTCGTACCTTGAACAAGGAACACAGAACCAGTACAATGTCATGTTTTATAATATTTCTCAAATTTGGAACACCGCCATTTGTCCAATAAACAGAGACTATAGCTGACAGTGTTTCAGTATCACGAATACCATGTATACTGTAAACTACTTTTATAACTAAGACGCCTTTAAAAAAATACGGTTTCAACAAACTGAAATGAGTGGTCTTTTTAGTGTTATAAGGTATAACGTGTTATAAACGCAGCTTACTGTATTATGAATATATAGCTTGTATCATCAGAGTCGTAGTTATGTATTTTAATAATCGATGGTATTATAGCTCAGTAAAGAAATATTACAAATGTATATAGTATTTGAATAAACCTCTCCAGTGGTATTCTGCGTTACAGATTCATTGGTTTGCCAGGCTGGTCAATAGAAACAAATGTGTACATCAGCTCCAACTAAAAATACCTGAACGTTACCCTGTAGTTTATTATGCCAGTAGACATTAAATCTGACTTTACGATATCACGGTTTTCGTGTGAATTATGCATTGCAGGTGTTTTGATGAAATTGAAGGTATGTACATCATCCATAGCCTGAGAATAACGTTTATTTATTAACTCGAGAAGGATATACGATCGGCCACTGTTCAAAATCGGACATAACATTAAGACATTAAGCATGTATGCCAATTTTACAAAATGCTTTTTTATTTTTCCTGCATACATTTACTGTACCGCTTAAGCATGTAGTTCTTATATCATTTATATCCAGGTCAAGGTCAAGGTCAAGGTCATCCTTGAGGTATTAGCTCGAAAATAACATGTGTTCCGCCGAAGGTATATAGGCTCGGTACGTCTTCTGTTTGCACTATCTTGAAGAGTCATGTAGTCTTGCCTGAAGATTTTGTGATCAAAGACCACATTTATAGTAATCAAAGTAATCACATATAAAGAACCATGTTCTGTAATTTATCAACACAAAAACATGAAACATGATGGTTGTTAAACAGTCCACTGATTACTGGCACAAGAGGTGGTTGGACTTTCAATTGATTACTGGCATAAGGGTGCGTTTGAACAGTCTATAGATTACTGGTATATGGGGTGGATGAACAATCAATTGATTACTGGTATAAGGGTGGTTGAACACTTAATTGGTTACTGGCAGAAGGGGTGGTTGAACAGTCAATTGACTACCGCCATAAAGGGATGGGTGAACAGTCCATTGATTACTGGCACAAGGGTGGTTGAAAAGTCAGTTCATTACTGGCATAAGGGTTGGTTGAACAGTCAATTGACTACTGCCATAAAGGGTGGGTGAACAGTCCATTGATTACTGGCATAATGGGTATTTGAACAGTCAATTGATTACTGGCATAAAGGGTAGGTTGAACAGTCAGTTGATTACTGGCATAAGGAGTGGTATAACAGTCAGTTGGTTACTGGCATAAGGAGTGGCATAACAGTCAGTTCATTACTGGCATAAGGGGATGGTTGAACATTCAGTTGGTTACTGGCATAAGGGGTGGTTGAACAGTCAATTGACTACTGCCATAAAGGGTAGGGTGAACAGTCCATTGATTACTGGCATAATGGGTGTTTGAACAGTCAATTGATTACTGGCATAAAGGGTAGGTTGAACAGTCAGTTGATTACTGGCATAAGGGTGGTTCAACAGTCAGTTGGTTACTGATATAAGGGGAAGGTTGAACAGTCAGTTGGTCACTGGCATAAGGGGTGGTTGAACAGTCAGTTGGTCACTGGCATAAGGGTGGTTGAACAGTCAGTTGGTTACTGGCATAAAGGGTGGTTGAACAGTCAGTTGGTTACTGGTATAAGGAGTGTATGAACAGACAGCTGTTTACTGGCATAAGGGTTGGTTGAACAGTCAGTTGGTTACTGGTATAACGGGTGGTTGAACAGTCAGTTGGTTACTGGCATAAGGGGTGGTTAAACAGTCAGCTGGTTACTGGCATAAGGGTGGTTTTAACAGTCAGCTGGTTACTGGCATATTGGGTGGTTGAACAGTCAGTTGGTTACTGGCATAAGGGGTGGTTTAACAGTCAGTTGGTTACTGGCATATTGGGTGGTTGAACAGTCAGTTGGTTACTGGCATAAGGGTTGGTTTAACAGTCAGTTAGTTACTGGCATATTGGGTGGTTGAACAGTCAGTTGGTTACTGGCATATTGGGTGGTTGAACAGTCAGTTGGTTACTGGCATAAGGGTGGTTTAACAGTCAGTTAGTTACTGGCATATTGGGTGGTTGAACAGTCAGTTGGTTACTGGCATATTGGGTGGTTGAACAGTCAGTTGGTTACTGGCATAAGGGTGTTTGAACAGTCAGTTGGTTACTGGCATAAGGGGTGGTTTAACAGTCAGTTGGTTACCGGCATAGGGGTGGTTTAACAGTCAGTTGGTTACTGGTATAAGGGGTGGTTGAACAGTCAGTTGGTTACTGGCATATTGGGTGGTTTAACAGTCAGTTGGTTACTGGTATAACGGGTGGTTGAACAGTCAGTTGGTTACTGGCATAAAGGTTGGTTGAACAGTCAGTTGGTTACTGGCATAAGGGTTGGTTGAACAGTCCAGTTGGTTACTGGTATAAGGGTGTTTGAACAGTCAGTTGGTTACTGGCATAAGGGTGGTTGAACAGTCAGTTGGTTACTGGCATATTGGGTGGTTTAAACAGTCAGTTGGTTACTGGCATATTGGGTGGTTTAACAGTCAGTTGGTTACTGGTATATTGGGTGGTTTAACAGTCAGTTGGTTACTGGCATATTGGGTGGTTTAACAGTCAGTTGGTTACTGGCATAAGGATTGGTTGAACAGTCAGTTGGTTACTGGTATAAGGGGTGGTTGAACAGTCAGTTGGTTACTGGCATATTGGGTGGTTGAACAGTCAGTTGGTTACTGGTATAAGGGTGGTTGAACAGTCAGTTGGTTACTGGCATATTGGGTGGTTGAACAGTCAGTTGGTTACTGGTATAAGGGGTGGTTGAACAGTCAGTTGGTTACTGGTATATTGGGTGGTTGAACAGTCAGTTGGTTACTGGTATATGGGTGGTTGAACAGTCAGTTGGTTACTGGCATAAGGGGTGGTTTAACAGTCAGTTGGTTACTGGTATAAGGGTGGTTGAAACAGTCAGTTGGTTACTGGCATATTGTGTGGTTGAACAGTCAGTTGGTTACTGGTATAAGGGGTGGTTGAACAGTCAGTTGGTTACTGGTATAAGGGGTACGTTGAACAGTCAGTTGGTTACTGGTATCAGGTGAAATCGCTGACAATGGACTAACGTTCTGAACGTTGTGGACATATCTCTGTCACGTGAGATTACTCAGTCTTTCATTTTAATCAGTTACTTAATCATTCAATCGTGAGATATGTCAGGGGTGCGTAACAAAGATCTTTGTGTATATATTTGAACAACCACAGATCAAATACGAAATCACCAAAAATTATTAAATATACCTCGAAGAGGATCGTGTGGTAAGTGAATATGAACAGTTTACAAGGTGGTTAAATCCATTGATATCACCAAGGATTTTCCCAGTTACATGTAACCAAATGCAGCGTATAAACTCCAAATGATACAGTAAATATGCTATCAGGCTTTTTCTCCCACGCATAGTCGTAATGCAATGCTCTTAAAGAGAGGCGATCGGGTTGCCTAGGTGTTAAAACGTTCGCTTGTCACGCCGAAGAACCGTGTTCGATTCCCCACATTGTTACAATGTGTGAAGCCCCGCCGTGAAATTGCTGGAATATTCCTAAGAGCCTCTTAAAACTAAACTCACTAACTCGCTCACTTAAACGCTCACAAACATTCGATACAATAACTGGCAGTAGAGAATAAATAGCAAACAATGAACACAAGGACGTAGCGGATCTTGTAAGTTCCTAATAAGCTCAACACATACAATGGTAGCTAAGGAACAATATGGGCAGTACTAACCACAGCGGCGGGCGAGACACCTTATCCCGTGTGATGCGCCACGTGCTGGTCTGTTCTTGCGATGTCCTGAAGCCAAATGCAGGAATCCATGCTAGGTGTACCTATTGTATGCGCTGGCCTTTGTGGACGTCAATACCAATCACCCGGGATCATTTCTACCTTCACTGTACGAGACATAGCCCAAGAGGCCATTATTCAAAACATGGCATGACCGATGGCATTTATTCACTACATAAAAATCGTTAAAATAAATAAAAATATATAAAATCGTTGCTGGATGTTCCTATCAACATACAAAAAACATGCACACACAACACACACACCAAAAACACACTACATGCACACACACACACACACACTGTACACCACATACACACAAACACTTTATAACCTTTACGCGAGATCTGTTATTGATTTTCCTGCCGTACATAGTCGATGATACAGAGACGAATCTCCACTAAAATATTTACAAAGCATATTGGTCGACCATGAGAGCCGGTAATGGCCTTCTTTATCTACTTATATATCATCTACTGGTGCAGTAGGAGCTCTTCTGTTGAAAGGGTTCTCTCTGATTTTATCTATAAATAAAGTATTGCAACTGAATGGACCTGGAATATAGTCTGTTTATATTGCTTATTCACGTTAAGATATATTCAAGCCTCTCCAGCATGTGCTGTCTACAAGTTTTGCAGGAGATTCCAGCTTGCCCGAACGTTTCTCATGCAACCATATGGATCCTGCTTTCAAAAGTTCTTCGATCGGGGTGACAACGTTCAAGATTTTAGTGAGTAAGTGAGTTTAGTTTTACGCCGCACTCAGCAATATTCCAGCTATATGGAGGCGGTCTGTAAATAATCGAGTCTGGACCAGACAATCCAGGGAACAACAGAATGAACATCGATCTACGCAAATGACATACGATGACATGTGTTAACCAAGTCAGCGAGCCTGACCAATCCGATCCCGTTAGTCGCCTCTTCCACATAGTCGCCTTTGTGGCAAGCATGGGTTACTGAAGATCAATCAAAACCCGGACCTTCACAGGTCAAGGTTTTAGTGAATCTTTCCAAAATCACCATGGTAAACACATTTTAATTTCCAAGCTTGATGCATCTGCGAAGGAAATCATGTACGAAGCAATTAGAAGTGTGACGATACTGAAATTTCACGATACGATATGTATCGCGGTATCTTGGAACGATACGATTCGATTCGATGCATATCACGAAATGCTATCTTCAGTTATGTTCTTTAAAAAATCGTCCGGGTTCGATTCCCACATGGGTACAATTTCTGAAGCCCATTTCTGGTATCCCCGCCGTGATATTGCTGGAATATTGCTAAAAGCGGCGTAAAACGTCAGTTAAAAATCGTATTTTGATAGCAAGTGACAGTGTTTATTTTGACATAACCGTCAATATCTAGTGAAAAT